TTAATAATTCTGTAAATGTTTGTTACAATTTGTAATACACATTAAAAAATCTATGCATCGACAATGATGATAGATTTGATTAATTATTGACACGTAAAAATTAGAATAAATTTGTAATTAGAGTCCTTAGAAGTGACTATTCGTTCTTAGAGTTGGTGATATATCAATTCTTGAATTGTTATACGTAATTTGCAAAAGCCATTGATATCAAAATAGTGTACATTTTTGTAAATTTTTGGAATGTCTCTGCGAAAATCAAAGTTTTCTCGGGACTGTTGCTGAATGTGATACTAATGAAAAGCTTGCAAGTGAAAAAATATGCACATGCAATTCGATTCTTCATATTGATAGCAAATTTTCAACTAGAGTCGCTCTCAATTTGCTGATACTATCTCTGTACGAAAACAATTTAAATTTCGATACAGTAAAATACGATTGTTTCTTGATTTGTACTTTGACACACGAGAAAGATATAGTCATCAGTTAGTCGATAAAAGTTAATTGTATAAAAAGTTAGTGTGTTTGTATTCTCCAAAATTTATTCTTGTTTGATTTTTGCACAGAGACGTATTGAATTTTAAATTCAGTCGTTTAACAACTTTTCTAGTAAATTCATTTTTTTATTTTTTGTATACACGATAAAAATGTCTGACACTTTCTTATCCTTTATGTCTACTAACCCCTTCTTTTTCAGCTTTTAATCCAAGGGATCACTTTTTGTTTTAGGTTATTTGCAGAAATTTTGTAGACTGAATCTCTGTTTGCCAAAATGAAGAGTAAACAATCTCAAGAAATTTGATATTATGTTTCTAATCGTTTTAGTTTCTGTTTCAGGAATCCTCGTGGGATCAAATTTTAAATTATTGAATTGAAATGCCGATAAAAATGTATTGTTATATTCTTCTATTCTTATTGTACGTTATATATGTATGTGCTCCTCAACTTCTGTTTCAGAAAGCATCCTAGGATCGAATTAATGCTCGCTAAATTATTCTAAATTATTAACTGTCCACTGATATGATATTATCCACTGAATTTCTCTTTCAGGGATCATTCTAGAATCAAGCTACAAGTTCATCTGAATGAAGTATTTATAATCTATAAAATGTTTTGTTATATTCCTCCCAGTTTCTGTTTCAGAAGACATCATATGAAGATTTCTCTTCACCCGAAGATCATTTTATGAAGATTTCTCATCACTCGAGGATTGTCATGGAGCCGAACGGGTTTAAAAAATAACTGCGTTATTCATGGTCGTAGCTAAGTTATCAGTCAGGGGGAAGCAATGTAATTTTTTTCCGTCCAGGGGGGTGGGGGCAAGTGCCGCTCCTGGCTACGTCCATGTTAGTTTCTGCGTTGTGTTTAGTTTAAGTTGTTGAGTGTGCATGTTATGCAAAATTATGCAAATATTATTGTAAAAGGGGGATCGATGCGGAACGCATGTGATTCCATCTATCCTCCTTGGGTCTCCATTCGCAGCAACCTCCACGTGGTGAGACCTGGGCAATCATTATTATTTGGTATATAATTGGCAACTATAATCATTTACAAGTTTGCGAACTATATAGCAAATAATATGAGCCAATTGGCTGCGACCTTTGGTCCTTTTGATCAATTGATTCTTGTTAGTTCTTTACTGGCTAGATGCAAGTGGCAAGAATTTCTTGTTCTGTATATAATCTGTTCGCACCACCACAGACGAGGCATAACTGATAAGAAAAACCATGCTCGAAGATTCGTATTTTGTAGAGGAAATGTTAAGGAATGTGGCTATATTTCGGTTCAAATTTTCAACTTGTTGAGGGATACGTTGGAGCGAGGGGCGTTTCTAGTGATCAATTAACGGACACTCAATTATTGGGCTTCTACTGTAATTCACGAATTCACCGTTCTCATAACATAGAGGGCAGCAAAAAATCTCTGACTGTTTGCACGATCGGTATTTTAGAACATGAGACACTAACTACGTAGCTTACGTTTTTTGTCGTAGGTGGAGCCATAGGTCAATTTAATCGTGCACAAGATATAGGCCAGGGGAATTAAAAAGAATTATTTGAACAGACTTAAAATTACCATTGTTCTCTACTGGGATTCACAAGTCCGATCAACATATCACGAAGAAATTAAGTTTTCAATCCTGCTTTGTAGGTTTTTTATCTGTGAGGCTTCAGATTTAAACCTTAAAGACCCCAGATAAAGTCCCGATAATTGCGAATTTGTAAAGCAATTTATTACTGACAAATATATCGGGAATTCATGACGGGAGAAATGAAACCACGCGAGGGTCACTTTAACATAATCTCGGATGTATTTCGAAAATTCAGTTTACTTCATCAGAGACATGTCTGAAGATACACATTTTGTGAAATATCAACGACGTTCCTAAATCAACGAAGTATCCAAAATGAACTAATATTAAGTGTGTGCGTAATCGAGAAGAGAGATAGAGAGAAATCGAGAAAGAGAGAGATAGATATAGATATAGAGATAGAGATAGAGATAGAGATAGAGATAGAGATACACATAGAAAGACGAAAAGAGAAACGAATGTGAAACGTAAAAGTAAAGGAAAACCATCATATTTTCTTTTCATATAATGCATCGTTCACACTATTACATTATTTACCATCGGCAGATGGAACTGGCGCTTAAACAGTTTAGATTTGGTCCAAAGGGTTCGTTCTTTATTCTTCACGATCCGGCAGACACCGTCAACCCCCCGTTGATGGTGTACACATCAACAGGCAATCATAACTGGTCTTTGTACAGATCACAACCCTTTCGTGTATTTTAACAGAAGTCGGCGATGATCCACAGAAAGAGACACGCGGATCGAACGACAAAACGATCGTGCGTCAATCGTCCTCGCGTACGTCGACCAAAGAATGGAACGTCCGCGCGCAAGACCGCTGTCAAGAATTCCGTTCGACGACCGTAGAAATTCACGCTAAACAAGTGACGGAAAAACCATAAGGATTATAAATTAAAAGTATTGTCGACCGATCATCGACCACCAAACATTCCTTTGAATCGCAACAGTTTACGGGTGCGTGCGTCGATTCTGCTTATTCACTCTAAAAAAAGAGAAAAAAAAAGAAGAAAGAAAAAAAAAAATGAAAAAAAAATGAAACACAGCAAAAAAGAATTCCTGATACGTGGTACGACATCGATAAGAGATTACAAAGTGTGGTCGGAATACGGATGTACAGTGGAGTCGTAACGAAGCAAATCGAGAATCCAGTGGCGAATACAAAGATTTCGGGACCCGTTCAAAATATAGCAAACAATAATCGATACGCTTTGTAATAACGATTTCCCTAAAACACGATGCGTCTCGAGTCAATGGTACCCGATAACGGGTATATCTCAAACTAACGCGCCATCGCTCCGCGTTCTTCGGACTCCCTCGGCTCTCCCCTGGATCTTTTCGTGTAAATTTGACAGAGGTCTAAAATCTTCTTGGAAAGGTCGATGGATTTGGTCCACGTTTGGTTTTTCTTCTCGCATATACACCGTGGCCACTCCGTTTCGTCTCTGTGACTGCTCTTCGATTCGTCCCTTTCTCGAATCGGACTTCAAAGACGATCTGGACGTGGACACGGGGTAATTATAACGGCTAAAAAAAAAAATAGTATTCATTTTCTCGTTCGTTCATCGGCTAACACAAGCGAAACATGTAGGTACGCTTGTCGATGCCACGCGCAACGACAGGTCTCTATCATCGTCGAATCTCGTCGAGCCATTCTTGATCGTATTACGTTCGTTCCGGACGAACGGCGTTCATTTAAGTGAAACAAGTCGGAGCAACAACAACGCACATTCGCGCAGCAACAGTCCACGTGTAGTCTCTGTAATCGTTTCATTTTCCCTGGCATTTTCCGGTCCCGTGTCCGTGTTCTCACGCTTGCTTCGGATGCGACGCAGGCGCCGCGGGCTCCGATCGGAAGCACGACAAGAGGAAGCCGGTGTACATGGCGAACAGCATGGTGATGGCGATCAGCATGTACATGTATATGTTCAGCTCCGGTTGACGGTACCTGTTCTTGCGCAGCCACTCCAGCACGTCGTGCTCGCTGTGGATATCACCTTTAACAGAAGAAACACCCGTTCGAAAAGTAGTACACGAAAGTGCAGGATTAATGTTCACGAAATCTTATTTTGTATATAGGGTGATAGAAAAAAAGTGTTCGTCAGGTAGATAGTACCTACTCGTCAAATGGTGAAAAAAAGTCTTAATAAATACCCAGATAGCACACGACTTTTAATGACGCCTTGAAGACGGCTTAAAAGCGCCTTAGGCCTAGAATAGCCGTAAAACGGATGTCTTCAAGGCGTAATCTGGGCATGGATCGAAAAATTAACACTTTAGAAGTTATAAACAATCTTTTCTTTCTGTAAAACGAGTGACTTTTGGAAGCTACTGGTACCGTATGGAAACAATAACGAAAATTGTAGAACAATTAATAAAAATTGTAGAAAATCTTTTGTGATCAGAAAAAGAAACAATGATAAGGTAATGCATTGTTTCCATACGGTATGATAGCTCTCGAAACGTCATTAGCTTTAACCTAAAAAAAAGACTGTTTATAACTTCGAAAATATTCTTTTTTCGATGCATTTGGGACTTTTTTTTAGAAGTTACGAACCCTTTCTTCCCATCACCTCGTATAATACTAGAAACACCAATGTTGAATGTTACGTACTAAACTAATTTGTATAATATATACATATATACCAGTTTGATAGATTCAGGTGAATGGAATTTCTTTGTTTAGTTGATTTATTCTTATAGATTCAGTTTTAAAGCGAGCTACACTCACCTCGATAAATACTGGGGAATCTCTTGCGGAAATAGACAATGGCAGGAAGCTTAGTGACGCCCCATTTTCTGGCGTATCTCGGGTCGGCCATCTTGACGAACGTGATGTCCAAGTTGTCCGTCTCGCCGTCGATGTTCTCCAACTTCTCGTTCACTTCCTCGCTCTCTTTGTTATCGTGTTCGTCTGAAATATCGATCATCGAATTCGGAACTTGCCTAGAAAGGTTTCACCGGTTAAATCGAGAGTCATTTAGACAGGTATTTACAAAAGAAAACAGCTAGAAACTCGTTTTCGTCGAGCAGCTTGTCCAGCATCTTCTTGTTGACCTCCTCGATCTCGTTCTTGATCTCGAAGACGTCCTGCGAAGTTAACCACGAGAGGATCTTATCCTCTTGCGTTAGATCCCCGTCGTAGATCAACGGCGTCTTTTTACGGAAGTAGACGAGGGATGGGACATTCAGAATTCCGTATTTCTCGGCGGCCTCCGGACTGAAGATCTTCACGAAATCGATACCGAACAAATCTGCCTCACCGTCGATCTTTTCCAAGGCTTCCATGATATCGTCGCACTCGGGACAATCTTCGTCATCTGCGGAACGAAGGTCAATCCGTTCGATGGAATTTTGAGTCTTAATTAAAGGGGTCACATACCTTTGACAGGTTGGAAAATAGGGTTACTTTTATGAATTTTTTTTTTCATATAAAAGAACGTTTTATTAAAAAATCTAGATATACATCTTTTTGTGAACAAATTAAGCTGCATTCACTTTTTACTCTCAAGACCTCTTAACAATTGTAGCACTTGCGGTAATTTGAATAAAATTTAGCATGAACATTCTTAAGACTATAATCTAGTAGGTTGTCGAAGCGATTTTTCGATTTCTTGTTTTTTTTATTAACAAAAGAAAATGAGAAATTAGGTCGAAAATCGCATTCTTGACTTTGAGTAGCTGTCATTTTGCAACAAATAAATCTTTCAAAATCGACTTTAACACGTACTAGTTTTTCTGTCTAGTTTAATGTAAAAAAAGAAATTATGCTCCCGATAAAACCTCATAGAGATCTGTTACCGAAAATGTTGTAACGGTGAGGAAGCCTTCTGAATAACAGAATGCAGCTGAAAATTTCTGTTAATAACAGAATGCAGCTTAATTTATACACACAAAGATTTTGATTATTTAATGAAACGTTTTTTATGTAAAAAAATTACTCAGAAAGATAACCCTATTTTATGACCTGTCGAAGTTATGTAACCCTTTAAGAATTCAGAGAACAAGATGTCTCGGAAACAATTGAAATCAGTTGTAAAATGGACAAAAGTATGGACAGAACGGAAAGATCTTCCTTGGCTGTTTATTTCCGAGACACCCTGGACATTTCGAATCTTACAGAAGAAGACTGCCAGGAACGGTGACTCGTCCATAAGTCTCTCCAGCATCCTGTCGTTCACGGACTCGATCTCGTCTGCCAATTCGCGGTTGTCGTCGTCGATCAACCACTCGAGAACCGATTCTTCGTTTTGTAAATCACCTACGAACCACAGAGATCAAATTACCACTAGTTACACTATATTTTATTAACGTATTATAACCCATAGAAATGTGTAAAGACCTTCGAATAAAAGAGGATTGCCATTTCGGAAGTAGACGAGAGCAGGGAAAGTTTTGATCGAGTATCGTTTCGCCAATTGTGGATCCTGAATCTTCACCAGATGAATACCGAAAACGTCGCATTCGTCGTCGATTTTCTCCAGTCCTTCCAAAATTTCATCGCATATATGACAGTTTTGTTTATCTGCAAGAGGAACAAAGTGTTGGAAGTTTTCTTTTTCATGTAAATTGTAAGAATATAATTTATACCAATGAAGTGTTTAACACCTACAGAAGTATACCGCAAGGTACTGGGTCTCTTCTACCGACGTTTCCAGCATCACTCTGGTTATCAATTCGATTCTGTCTTCAGTTTTCTGCGTGATCAGCCATTGCAAAACCTCTTCCTCCACTGATAAATCGCCTACGAAAATTCAAAAAACATATATCACTTAACTTGTGGCTATATTATTATTATTATTATTCTTATTGTTTTTATCACACTTAATAAACAATCGTTTTATTTGTATTATGTTACAAACCTTCAAACACGTTAGGCACTTGGTTCTCGAAATAAACTAACACCGGAAAGTCAGTGACGCCATAATCTTCTGCCACTTTGTAATCCTAGAAAATAGGTTTAAACAGTCCTGTATATTTTTCAAACAAGCATTTAAAAAGTTTCAAGTTATGAAACGTAGTCGATTTCCAAACTCACTTGAGTTTTAACGAACGTGATGCCATGTCTGTCGCAGTCGTCGTCGATGTTCTCCAATTCCTCCAGAATTCCCACGCATTGCTCGCAGTCTTCGACGTCTAAACAGGAAACTATATTGTTATAAAATTCACGAACCTTTGGAAAACTGTGTCTACTTGAGAAATACTGCGATCTATCGGGGGAGGAACACGAAGTGGATCAGTCTGTGCGGTGTTCAGGGGCTCGTGACGATCTACGAAAGCTGTTCTCCAACTCAGGCTAGGTACTAAATCTAACGAAAAAAAAAAACAGTAAATTGAAACTGAAACCGCAGAAATCGTCCGAAACAAAATCTGATTTCGTCGAATCTACGCAAAACACGATCAAACGGAAAAGACATGCTGATCAGCTGGGGTGTCTAGGGCACTATGATTCTTCTGCGTGGCTCTACGGTCTTCTGCATGCACTCTAAACGTGCAGGTACACCTGTGTGTGACAGTGTAATCGTGTATAAATCGCGAAAAATAATCTTCTTCCGAT